TATGAAATTTTTCCTTGGCTATTACTATTATTATAGCATCGACTAGACGATGCACCCCTCTTGATTGGATATGTTTTGGGTCACGGTTATTTTTTATAGTTTTACGGAAGCCGTTCCACGGTAACTCTGTGGTTAGTGCACAACATTTCATGCACAGTTACTTAGGCCGTTCCACGGTAACTCTGTGGTTAGTGCACAACATTTCATGCACAGTTACTTAGATTAAACAGACAAACATGGGGTTTAATAAAGGAGTGGTTAGTGCACAACATTTCATGCACAGTTACTTAGATTAAACAGACAAACATGGGGTTTAATAAAGGAGAATTAGACGGAGAATATAACATGTATATAAGCGGGCTTGTGCGCATTTTTGATATCCTGGTATATATATTTAAGAAATAAGGGTTCATCCTGACTTGAAGCCGTGTTCCCGGGACGGTTTACGGGAAACCGACTTATATACATAAAATATTCTTCTCTAATTCAAATAACATCTAAAATAATAATAATGTGCTTGTGTGTCTTATGTTTAACCTTGTTTGATATCTATTATTAGAATTTTTTTCATCTTTAATTAAGTTCTCATTTTTTTTCTTTATCCATGCCACATTACACTTACACGCATACATTTCCTTCATTTTACATGCTTGTTGTGAGTTTTCTGACTCCCCTGTGGTTTGTGTGCCCCAAACTCTGTAACTATTCTTTCCTCGTAGGATCGTGAGTATTTCGAGGGGCAAACTCATCGGCAGTGATCACCGTTCATTCCATTCAGTTCTCCATTTTACTTGTTTTGGGTAGTTATTTGCTTGAGATTTTCCTGTAATCTCTTGTGGATCTTCAGACTATGAATGATTTCTTTTCTTCTATTTTGGATAGTTGTGGACTTTTCACAGACCTCTGAACTTTCAGATATTTCTTTATCTATCAGTTTTCTTTTATTATCTTGATCACATGCTCTATGGTGTAGTTTTGGTTTTATATTAATATACAGGATGATCTAGGGGCGTGAATGTGACCGTATGGTTACATTGCCGGCCGAGTCACATTCCAAACTATTACATTTTGGAACTAGGGTGTGACACAATTCCTTTTCGACTTCAACCTTCAGTTACAGTCTCTAGGGGTTATGAATAACCCACTGCCACCTATATGCACGAGGACAAAGGAGGACGAAACATACCAGAGCAAGGAAAGGCAGAGACTTGAGCAATTTGGTGAATGTTGAGCAAGAGAGAGAGTCTTCATAAATTTCAAGCACTTCCAAGAGCCTTCGGCGTTTCCTTGAAATCTAAGTTTTGACTGGATCTTGGGAAGAGTGTTTTATCTTACTTTGCTAAGATATTCACTTCTATCCTTATTTCTAAAATGAAACATCGACCTTAAGCCTTCTTCACTATTCAACTTGGATCAGTGATTCGGTTGTCCACAAGCTAACGCACCCCCGGCACAGGCAAAGATCTCACGCAAGCAGCGAACGATCAACGTTCCTGCATGTATTTCTAGCGAGTACTAGTAATCTTGTTTTGTTGTAAAGAGTAGTTTTACAAAGCATAAATGCTCACTCTTTTGTATTCATTGTAATCGATAAAAAGTTATAATGAATTCTACAATAAAATTTGTTTCCGACGCAAACACTCCTGATTGTATCTCATGTGCAACTCTTATTTACGCTAGGGGTGAGGTTTTTAAGAGTATGATGAATCAAGGACAAACCTAGGTGTTCATGTATGCTTCTCCGATGGATCGAAGGTATTTTAGCAAACATGGTTGATCAGATCTAGAGTACGAGATACTGCATAGTTACACTTTTGTTTGTGTATTTTAATTTCTTTAGGAAGATCCTTGTTTCGGTCATAACGAATCTAGTTGTAAGGCTACCCACTTGTAGGTTCTCAACGGTCCATGCTGTACTAACGATTATAGACAAGGATTTAAAAAGGAAAGAAATTCTTAGGGAGACTTTGACTCAAAGAGCAAACGGCTTGGGGATCGACTCAGGAAGCAATGGATGACACCCACTCATTTGTGTGAGCGGGAGTATGTTTGTTATCTATGAGATAAACACCAAAATAAGTGGGTGGATAATGGCTTATCTTAGACATAAGATAATTATAATAATAATGATTGTAGGATTCTATCTCTAAGCCATTTGTATGTAGATATAGGGTTTTCATGATGGGTGGATCAGAGAAAAAAGACCATAAACCTTCACAAATCTGTCATTTCCTTCTTCGATCAAGTTCGTGCTTTATGTCGTAGTCGTGGGGTGATATGCAGGGGCTTCTCGCTGTATTGGTGTGGTTGCCTTCCGACCGTTGTCCGAAGATAAAGAGTAGATGGGGTATCAATCTTTCTAAAAGATCCAGGAAAGGTAATTTTTTTAACATGAGTTCTTTTTGTGCATGGTTTACATAGAGGATAGGGGTGTCAAAAATTTTAATTTCCTATTTTGCCCCTCTTAATGTTTATAAGTCTCAATTATGTTTATGATCTCCAATTAATCATTCACTAATTATCCATAACCTACTATTAACTATGCATTTGCTTACTTCTCCAAAAAAAAATTATCAATCACTGGAATATATGTTTAAATTTTAAATCATACTTCATATCATATCATATTCTCTAGAAAAATGTGAGTTTTCCATTATCAGTATTACCTTTTAAATTCGATAAATTCGATAAATTCGATTAAATCGATACTTCATATCATATCATATGCTCAAATTTAATTAGAAGTTGATTTTTGCATTTAACTTTAATAAATTCGATCATATCTCATGCTAAAATTGAAATTCTTCCCGAGAATATAGATCTTGTATCTTAAGACTCTTTGTTCACATGTCAAATTGAATTTCTTCAATTTAGATTGCACATCTTAATTTTAAATATGTTACAAATTGAAATATTTAAATTTTAAATAAAGACAATTTTAATTTTTATATATAACGAAATTTTAAGTTCTAAAGCATTTTCATTTGTTTATTTTTCTTCCTTTTTTTTATTGGCAGGAAATATAATAGGAAAAAATATGCTTGAAACTTAATTTCAAGTGAACAGTCAGGTGTAGAGTATAATTCAATCCAATCTTTGACTTCAGATTCTCTCTCTTTTAAAAAAAACAAAGATAAGAAAGATTAAATTGTTTATCTACCAATCAATTACTATAAAATTTAACATATTTAAACTAGAAACAATTAATTAAAAAAGTTATTAGGAGAAATGCACGTGCAAGGATTTGTAGAAGTTATATTAAAAAAAGATAGGTGTGATATTTATATTTTCAAATATCTGAACCAAAAATAGGCAATGTATACATGTATCTTAATATCATGTATACTGGTTAGTTTAGGATACTCTTTATATGTGTACATTTATCTTAATAATTTTATGTCTACCTTGTCTACTTTGAATGTGCAAGAGTTATCTAAAATAAGGTGAGAGTAAGTTTCATTCTTTTTTAATCATGGATTATTTGTGTTCAAAGCTTCGGATTTGCTTGCGTCAGTCAAAATTCTAAAAATATTTTGTTATTGGAGTGTAGATCAAGAATAAAAAGAATCTTTCTTATCATTATCAAGTAGATGTTTAAAAAATTAATCTTATTTAGTGCAATATATAATATGATAACTATAAAATATTTAACAAACAAATCATAGTAAAGACATAAACCAAAAAAATTAAAAAATCAATGTATTTGACCACTTGCTACGGACGTGCACCCCACCTACTATAATAATAAGTACAACTATATAATAAGTTATAAATAAAATAAATAAATATTAATTATAACTAAAAGTTACAAGACAAAAATTAAATAAATTACTATGCATAATTATAATTAGTAATGAATATAAAACTATTAACTATTTAATAATAGTATGATAAAATAATATACTATTAAATTCTATTAAGAATTATAATATTCTGCAATCAATAATATAAATTGTGTAACTACTTTACAATATTACTTAAATTAAAAATTATGTTATTATTTAATACTACATACTAAATAAACTATTTGACAATATTATAATAGACTAATTTATCAATTTAATGAACCAATATAATTTTTTATAGTTAGTATTATAATTATAGTATGTATAATTATTATAACAAAGAATATTTATAAGATAGAATACTATTTTATTATAATTATCCTAAATTATGATTATACTATTATAACTATTAAAATATATTAAAATGCAAACAATTATTTAACATTGCTAATTGTTTAAATAATTATGAATAAGTAATAATAATTATTTATATGATTCCTTATACGATGTTTACTATTAACTTTCATTTATAATAACTAAAAATTTTAATTGTTTACCATCTTCCAATTAATGATAAAATTCAAAACATAAAACAAATATATCCATTTGCAAAGCACATGCACTATGCTAGTTTAGAAGGGTTCACTGCATATATACCCCTTAAATCATGGGTATTTCCAAAACTATCCCACATCTTAATATTTGCGAAAATACCCATCAAATCATCAGTTTTAGCGAAAGAAACCTCCAAATCAATCAATCATCAACTTTATAGGCTAATTTGTAACTACAATTGGTAACCACATCTTAATATTTGTAACTACAAGGTAGTAAAATTTTTTCTTGTCAAGTTGATAATTTGTTGATTTTAGGGTGCTTTTTTCCAAATTGATAATTTGAGGAGTAGTTTTGCAGATAGTAAGGTTTGTGGGTAGTTCTACAACAAAAATATGGTCGCCATTCGTTCTCCAAAGTGCAAAATATGTAGTAAACAAGGAAATCCTAACGCTAAATAAATAAAAGCTGAAAAAAATATACATAAATTGAACATAAGAGTCACAGCTCCAGTCACCAACTTAAGTAAACATCTCATTACAAAACGAACCAAAATCCAAATTACACACAATGAACCCATCATTTGAAAACCAAAATCAAAATTTGGTCTTTAAGAAGAATGTTTTGGAGAAATAAATAACACATTGGACTAAATAGATATATGATGATGATGACAACCAGACTTAAATTCATAACGATCATGTGTAACAAATACTGGAAAAAGATGTACCAACTCCTCAAAGTGAAAATTCTGAATTTAGCAAGAGCAGATGCGCACGGATACATAACTATTGTTCATAATTAAGTTAAATGGTCATCAAAGAGACCACAAGAATACATTTTGGAGATATCAAACAGACATATCTGCGGAAGTCTGCAGGCTTAGTCTTTCTTTTCATTTGAAGGCGAGCAAATGTTCTCAAACGTTTTCCCAAGAGATGGCAAGCAACCTGTATCTTTCTCGGGGTGTGATTTATGATCCGGCACTTTTTTTGGATGTACAGTTTCGATAAGAGCCTCAACTTCTTCCTTTGCTCGTTCGAAAACACTAGGGCCTTTCACTTTGTCGATCGGTGTGTCTTCATCAATGGCGTTGCTCTTTCCATGAGTTTCCTTGTGATGGGTCTTTTCCTTGTGAGTGATTGCTTCAAACTCTTCCTTTATTCTCTCAAATAAGTTAGGTGCTTTCACATCCTTGCCTATAAGAAAGGTTAAGAAGAAAGAAAGGTCCTCATTAGACCCTTAGAAAGTGAATGCCTAAATAAATAAACAGACTCACTCTGAAAGTAGGACGTAGGAAATCCGCTGGTAAGAATACATTTCAAAACATTAACTCACAAAAAAAAAATTAAAAAAGTCTAACCAAATCACCCAACCCATTACTGGCATTACAAGTCATATGCACAAAGTTGTAGACTTAGTATAGTTACCAACAGGGGACACAGAGAGCAATATGGTACTGTGTCTGTGACACGGGATGTGTGGTCTCCAAAAAATGGGAACGTGTGCATTTGCAAACGCGCGCATGGACACATATGCACATACACTTATGTGGTAAAGATCAAGTTAAATGAATTGTTCAAGCGCATTAAGAAACTGTACACATAGAAGCATGTTTCATACAGAAAGGATACTGTAGTGCATAACTCAACATAGATGGAAAAAATTCTTTATAACTCTTAACCAATGTTTTAGATATCCCTTATATTTTCGATATCTCAGCCGATATATCCTTTTATAAAGCTTGTCACAAAAAGACATTGTCCCAATATCCTTTTCTTCTTTTTGGCAATTTTTGAGCAATATATCATGAAAGTCCTGATATATCATGTGACATTTTATCCACAAAAAATCAGCTGAAATGTTGCTATGTCAATTTGGGCTTTTATTTGTATTAAATGATTGGTTTTGTTTTATGGTTCCATTGAGTTCTAAACTCAAATTAATATCTGCATATGTAAATAACCATGAAGATGAATTAGAGCTTAATTTAGACCAAATTCGTATTTAAATATCCTTGATATATCCCCAATATCTACCATCTCATATGGATATTTTCTGCTTGACACATCCCTCAACATCCGATATTTAAAACACTCCTCTTGACTAAATATAGTTCGTTATATATATTTATGGGTTTCTTCATAAAAACCAACTTTAAAATATGGTGACAATATGAAAACTATATTTAATGGCCAATTAATACTGAAACTACCTTTAAAATGGGGTTACGATAAGAATCAACTACCTTGACCTCTTTTTTGGTGAAATATTCCGATTGAAATCCCCAAAATGCCTTAGAAAACACAAGAAAATATATCAACTTGGCTAAGAAGACATGTCACATGCTTGGGCATGTGTGTTTTTCAAGGGTGTTTTAGGGATTTCAATCAGAACATCACCAGAAAACGGGTCAAGGTGGTTCATTGTTATCGGAACCCCATTTAAAGATGGTTTCCATATTACTTGAGCTTTAAAGGTGGTTTTCATATTCTCACCCTATTTTGAAGGTGGTTCCTATTTAAAAACTCAATATTTACTATATATTTACTTGTATTTATTCAACAATTAGGCTTCACTTTATATATTTCAGAGCAATGTGATTATATTTCATTGAATGAAAACCACTACTACATGTGCTTTTATGTATTTAAGTAACTATCAAGGGAGCATAAAAGAGGAATCTTAAGAGCACAAATGCAACGTTCCATGAATATCGAAGTGGTTTCTCATACTTCTGAAAGATATAGGATGATATAGACCGCAGGTGGATTTGAATTTTACTAACAATTTTCTTAGGAAAAACTACCGAGAATTCCTCCAAGGCACATGAATGACAGAATATGCCCCTGAAGTTTTCAAACTAATGCATTCATCCTTCCGTTTGAATTTTCTACCAAACAGGATCACATGGGTATCAAGTGATTCATTTGCCAAAAAAAAAGCCCCCATCTCTCTTCTCATGAGAAGAAACAGAGGGATTTTCCGTTTTTCCCACAAAACATCATGCAGGTTTTCATATTCTCACCCTATTTTGAAGGTGGTTCCTATTTAAAAACTCAATATTTACTATATATTTACTTGTATTTATTCAACAATTAGGCTTCACTTTATATATTTCAGAGCAATGTGATTATATTTCATTAAATGAAAACCACTACTACATGTGCTTTTATGTATTTAAGTAACTATCAAGGGAGCATAAAAGAGGAATCTTAAGAGCACAAATGCAACGTTCCATGAATATCGAAGTGGTTTCTCATACTTCTGAAAGATATAGGATGATATAGACCGCAGGTGGATTTGAATTTTACTAACAATTTTCTTAGGAAAAACTACCGAGAATTCCTCCAAGGCACATGAATGACAGAATATGCCCCTGAAGTTTTCAAACTAATGCATTCATCCTTCCGTTTGAATTTTCTACCAAACAGGATCACATGGGTATCAAGTGATTCATTTGCCAAAAAAAAAGCCCCCATCTCTCTTCTCATGAGAAGAAACAGAGGGATTTTCCGTTTTTCCCACAAAACATCATGCAGGTTTTCATATTCTCACCCTATTTTGAAGGTGGTTCCTATTTAAAAACTCAATATTTACTATATATTTACTTGTATTTATTCAACAATTAGGCTTCACTTTATATATTTCAGAGCAATGTGATTATATTTCATTGAATGAAAACCACTACTACATGTGCTTTTATGTATTTAAGTAACTATCAAGGGAGCATAAAAGAGGAATCTTAAGAGCACAAATGCAACGTTCCATGAATATCGAAGTGGTTTCTCATACTTCTGAAAGATATAGGATGATATAGACCGCAGGTGGATTTGAATTTTACTAACAATTTTCTTAGGAAAAACTACCGAGAATTCCTCCAAGGCACATGAATGACAGAATATGCCCCTGAAGTTTTCAAACTAATGCATTCATCCTTCCGTTTGAATTTTCTACCAAACAGGATCACATGGGTATCAAGTGATTCATTTGCCAAAAAAAAAGCCCCCATCTCTCTTCTCATGAGAAGAAACAGAGGGATTTTCCGTTTTTCCCACAAAACATCATGCAGGTTTTCATATTCTCACCCTATTTTGAAGGTGGTTCCTATTTAAAAACTCAATATTTACTATATATTTACTTGTATTTATTCAACAATTAGGCTTCACTTTATATATTTCAGAGCAATGTGATTATATTTCATTGAATGAAAACCACTACTACATGTGCTTTTATGTATTTAAGTAACTATCAAGGGAGCATAAAAGAGGAATCTTAAGAGCACAAATGCAACGTTCCATGAATATCGAAGTGGTTTCTCATACTTCTGAAAGATATAGGATGATATAGACCGCAGGTGGATTTGAATTTTACTAACAATTTTCTTAGGAAAAACTACCGAGAATTCCTCCAAGGCACATGAATGACAGAATATGCCCCTGAAGTTTTCAAACTAATGCATTCATCCTTCCGTTTGAATTTTCTACCAAACAGGATCACATGGGTATCAAGTGATTCATTTGCCAAAAAAAAAGCCCCCATCTCTCTTCTCATGAGAAGAAACAGAGGGATTTTCCGTTTTTCCCACAAAACATCATGCAAGTTTTCCACTTTTCTTATATCATTTTATTATCTAATCTCTGATTTCTTAATTCATAAGCATTACTATGTATATTGAGAAATTCCCCCGAATACAGGGAAAAACAAAGAGTAGCATGAATAAGACTCTCACATAAGAATAAGCAGCAACAGAAAAAGAAATAAATAATCAGGAAAAATCAGCCATTTGTGCAGTAACTTTTTCAACCTATAATCAGTAGATAGAGGTAAAATATACATTATTCAGAAATCTAAGTTTGGTTCAGCAATTGGTCCCAATACTTCAAAACGAAAATAAAGAAATGAAATGAAATCTGTGGGAATTTTGATACCTGATCCCGATTCATCCATTGATAAGAACTCGCTGAGAGAGAGAGAGAGAGAGAGAGAGAGAGAGATCAAATGGTGAGATTGGGAGGATATTTTGAAGAAGGAAAAAACCCTAGAAGTGGATGAAAGCACGGCGCTTCGGACGAAAAAATAAAGGGTTTTTATGTATAAGACCCCCAATTCCTTATTTCTAAATAACAACACCAAATCTTGATATTTCTAAATGGCCCCCACCCCTCCCCAAATCATGCAAGTTGTCCCTCATAGATGTTTTCCATCCAAATGACTTACCCAACCATGGTTAGCCCTTAACCATATTGGTTAAATTACAATAATAGGTTGTCTTAATAACTTCAATAACTCAGCCTCCTTAAATCCTAGTATATATCCTCCTCTCCGTTCCCCCCTCCCCCGTCAAATGTCAGAACCCAAGAACTCAAGCCCTAATGAGAAGGCTATTTAGAAAAGGGGTGAATACAATTTAACCATTATTGTCATCAAGGGCATAATGGTCCATCCAAAACAAAAAATTAACAGTGATGGTGACAATATGTGTTACTTCTAACCGAAAGGGCTTTTTAACTACTTACATGATTTGGACGGTTATTTAGACATATCAAGGTGTGAGGGTGGTTGTTAGAAATAAGAAGATATGGGGGTCTTATATCATAAACACCCAAGAATAAATCTGAAATTTGGACCGGAATGTGGGCCATTTAGGCCCATTTAGGCTATTTAGGCCCATTTAGGCTCGGATTTTGAGTGGCCTGCTAGGCTAAATTAGTCATAAATTGTTGGGCTCCTTTTGCCTTTCTACTCCAAATCGATATCCTATTTGCAGATAATTAGTGAACTTTCCAATCTATCCTCTTTACGGATAGGGAAATTTACCGTAAAAGTAGCACTAGAGGTCCCTCCCACTATGTCAAAACTTTAAAGTTCAATTAAAGATTGAGAATTATTATTTTATATTCTTATGTCTTCACAAATTAAGCATTCTTGTCATAGATCAAAAACATAGACTAACATAGTGACATCTTTAAAAATGTACTTTGATGTCATATTGAAGCCCCATCCAAGATTCTAAAGCTTCAAACGTATGATAAGAGTTAAAGGTTAGAAGAGTAGTGATGATTGTACATAGAAGTTATACTACTCTTGTACTACTACACAAGAAAGAAGACCTTTTCTTGTAAATTACGAAAAGAAATTATCAATTCTTACGTACCCCGTTTCTTTGTGTCTATGAGCACAATAAACTTACTGTGGTATACTTAATTATCATTTTCCCAATCTTACTGCCCTAAAAGTAGGGATGTTAGGGTATTGGTTTTCTAGAAATTTTCTAGAAAACATCTTGTAGCTTCAATACATTTCTTAAAGACAGATGATTTTACGGAGAAAACAGATGATACTTGTGACTTCTTATAGAATAAGTCAAAAAAGAAGATGAAAAATAAGAATGGACAAAGAGATCCATAATCACAAGCCAGTACTTTTTTTCAAGGCGTGAATTATTTGCAAAGGGGAAAAAACCTCAAATTCTTGATTTTTTTATAAATTATATATAGATTAACTCATGAAACTTTTTAAAAAATATGACATTCTCTCCCCTATATAATTTTAAACTATCACTCTTCATCGTCTTCATCGTCTTCTGATTCACTAATCCAACGATAAGTATGTTGGAAGCTTTGTTCATGAAAAGACAATTTTGCATTTGTGAATAGTCCCACATTGGAAAATGAGATGAATAGTAAAGGGTATATAATGGTTCTCTCCTTATTGGGCTTTGAATAGTGTTTTGGGTTTTGTGGGCTTTGCATATCTACCACACACGCGCTCGCACGCGCGCCACGTCGCACCGCACACGCACACCTTTTTGCTTCTCAAGCTTTTATTTTCGCATGTTTTACACGTTCTGTAACGGCTGCATGCGGGTAACGGAAGCAAAACTTGTGCGTAACGGTCCCTTGGATTCAGCGGGGGTTACACCTCTCATCACCTATAAAAGCAGGCTTGGAGCTCATTCAGAAACACACCAACGAAGAGAAGAACATCTTCTAAGCTCTCTTCTTCCTCTACTCTTATTCCTACAAGAAATTTCGGCTACATATTTATATTCATTTTTTGGGCAACCGTTTTCGTCTGAGCATAAGCTCTGTGCCAGACCTGATATAGCTTATGCTGTAGGGAGACTGAGTCGGTATACTAGCAACCCTAGCAAAGATCATTAGACTGCCTTAGAAAGAGTATTTAAATATCTGAAAGGCACAATTGGCTATTGCTTGACTTATACTGGTTACCCTGATGCTATAGAAGGGTATAGTGACGCTAACTGGGTCACGGATTCCAACAGTGTAAAGTCTATATCTGGATATGTATTTCTTTTTGGTGGTGCTGCTGTATCCTGGAAATCATGTAAGCAAACAATAATTGCCAGGAGCACTATGGAATCTGAGCTGATTGCTCTTGATACTACTTGCACAGAAGCCGAATGGTTAAAAGATCTTCTATCTGAACTTCCTTTGGTCCCTAAACCCTCTCCTCCTATTTCCATTCACTCTGATTCTAGATCTACCATAGAGCTTCTAAAGCAAGTACATGTAAATAAAAAACATAACAGACATATTCAAATAAGATATAAGTCTGTACAACGCCTATTAGGCAAAGTTGTGATCTTGGACTTTGTAAAGTCTGAGAAAAATCTTGCTGACCCTTTGACTAAGGGATTATCCAGGAGTGTGGTTTTGGATTCATCGAGGGAGATGGGGTTAAGCCCATAAATGAGGTCACTGACAGCGGCAACCCAACCCTTATTTGGAGACGTAGTCCCAATGTCGGTTCAATGTGGTAGAAACAAGCTGGACAAGTGACTCTCGTGTGGAGCATCGACCTAGATATATTTATATATCATTATGTAGCATTTGCTACTACCCCCTCTCTATGATGACGATGCTCTAATGATACAGCTGGCTCGGCTGAGTTTTACTCTTAATAAGTCCAACGCGTGTATTGTGGGGGGTATTATATAAACAGCTGTAGTACCCTTTGAGGACTTACCTACGTGAGAGGAACCGTGATGGCCGCGGTTGGGGGAGCAGGGCTGACCCCTAGAAACTCTCATGAGTAGGTTTTTTATAAGATTAACGCTCAACCCGCTTAGCTCAATAGATAAAAATGTATTGTGTGTGTTTTTATCAATACCTGATCCAAGGGGCCTAATTCAAGGCCTAGTCCATTATGTCCCTCAGGTGGCGATGAACTCACTAAGGAAAGGTTCAAAGCCGAAAGCTACATTTCTCGAATTCACGATACGAAAGGTTGCCCAACCTACATTTATTTTGTGATTTATTTATTGATTTATTATTTTGAATTTTCAGTCAATATTGCCTTTTGGGGGGGGACTGTTGGAAGCTTTGTTCATGAAAAGACAATTTTGCCTTTGTGAATAGTCCCACATTAGAAAATGAGATGAATAGTAAAGGGTATATAATGGTTCTCTCCTTATTGGGCTTTGAATAGTGTTTTGGGTTTTGTGGGCTTTGCATATCTACCACACACACGCGCGTGCGCACGCCACGCCACGCCTCGCCTCGCCACGCCACGCCTCGCACGTTTATTTTTGCACGTTTTACACGTTTTGTAACGGCTGCATGCAGGTAACGGAAGCAAGATTTGTGCGTAACGGTCCCTTGGATTCAGCGGGGGTTACACTTCTCCTCACCTATATAAGCAGGCTTGGAGCTCATTCAGAAGCACACCAACGAAGAGGAAAACTTCTAAACTCTCTTCTCTACTCTCATACCTCCAAGAAATTTCAGCTACATATTTATATTTTTATTTGCTGGGCAACTGTTTTCGTCTGAGCATAAGCTCTGTGACTCATGCCCGAGTGCAGAGGCCGGCCGATTCCGGGGGGTTTTACCGCTAGGGGAGAGAGGACAAATTGCACCAGGACGATAGGCGGGTCCTTAATCTTCTAGGGCAGTGATATCACGACTGCTCCCAATCAGGCCTGAATTTTCTAACTCTTTAATTTGTTTTATATTTTTATATCCCTGTTTTGACAGCAATCTAGAAGATTAATAAATATTCTTGCTGTTAAGTTAATTAGTTAAAAAAAAAGTAAAAAAAAATTACTGTTTATCGGGATTACTATTCACCCGAATATTCATATATTTTAATTATTTGTTGTATTAGTTAATTGTTTTAATTTGTGGCATCTAAATTAGTTTAAAAAAATTATATATATAATTTCTTTGCTGCTTCTGTGCTTAATTTCAGTATCTGTCATAAACAAAAAAAATCTTTAAGTGAACCGGTTCAAGTTTTCTTGGATTAGTTGGTGTCTAAGGCAAGGTTTAAGGAAAATCTTTAAGTGAACCGGTTCAAGTTTTCTTGGATTAGTTGGTGTCTAAGGCAAGGTTTAAGGGTTGTGTAAAGCGCTCTGCAAGAAATGAGGTACTTAATAGATCTTTGATCAACCTCTAATACTATCCTTACCTGGCCAAACTACCCGAGTAAAACTTTTATCTTTTCACTTTCAGAGTTTTTGATTTAAAGCAGGTTTAATTAAGTTTCTGGTCTAGTAATATTGACAAAATCCTTTTTTATATCAGATTACATCTACCTAGACTAGTAAACTTGAATTGGACTTATGGCAATTCCTGATCATTCAAAAAGTGTCAAACCTGAGAAGTTCACCGGTGTTAACTATAAACGGTGGGCTAATCAGATGAAATACTGGCTCACTACCTTAGGTCTTTTATCTGCTATTGACACTTCTGAGTCATCTACTAGTGGTTCTCAACCTTTGACTCCTGATCCTGCTCAACCTGCTCCTTCCACTTCTGGTTCTGGTGCTAGCTCCTTTTTTAGCTCTATGAAACCAGAAGAAATCAACTATCATTGTTGTCATAGGATCCTTAGTTCACTTACGGACAACATTTATGACATATATTATGAGTTGAAAAGTGCAAAAGACCTATGGAATGCTCTTGAAGCAGAATATGGCTATGATGATACCGGAATTCTGAGTTTCATCTCCTCCTCCTTCAATAAGTTCATGATGATTGATGACAAGCCCATTAATGAACAAATTCATGAATTCCTAGATTCCTCCGTCATCTCCAATCAAAAGGAAACAC